GCTAACCTCAAGGTCAGCAGTTCGAAACTACCAGCTGTTCTGCAGGAGAAAGATGAGGCTTTCTGCCCCCATAAAGATTTACAGCCTCAGAAACCCTACGCAGGGTCGCTATGAGTCGGAATCAACTCCACGGCACGCCACCACCACCACCGTGTCCTCTTCTGAATCCAGCTTGAACCTCTGGAAGTCAATGGATGGTTGCAGCCATTTTTGTATTATCTATAGTACAACTTTACTCGCATGGGATATCAATGATATTGTCTGATAATTTCTGCATTCTGTTGGGTCACCTCTCTTTCGCTGTTGGTTTTGTATATAGGTTCTTTACTATGCTGATAAATTTCCTTTCAGTTACTATTTTGTTGAATGTTTTTATCAGGAATGAATGTTGGATTTTGTCAAATGCCTTTTCTGCATCAATCAATACGATCATGTGGTTCTTTTCTTTTTTTTATTTATATGGTGGATGACATTAATTGTCCCTGCTATGAATCCCACTTGGTCAGGATGTATTATTGTTTTGGATTTGTTGTTGAATTCTGTTGACTAGGGTTTGGTTGAGAATTTTTGCTTCCAAAGTCACCACTTCTGGCCAGTCCCAGTTCCACCTCAAACAATAAACATGAAATAACCCTTTGAAACAAAGTATCTTCTTTTTACTGCCCCTTGTGATTGTTGTTGTTGTAGTTACGTGCTGTCAAGTCAGTTCCAACCCATAGCGACACTGTATAGGGTTTCCATTGAGCAGCTGGTGACCTTGAACCACCAACCTGGCAGTTCAAATTGGCTTGGCAGCACCACACCAGGACTCCTTACTGCCCCTTGTTGTTGTTGTTGTTGTAATGTGCCGTGGAGTCGGTTCTGACTCATAGTGACCCTGTACAGGGTTTCTGAGGCTGTAAATCTTTCAGGAGCAGAAAGCCTCATCTTTCTCCCATGGAACCGCTGGTAGTTTCGAACTGCTGACCTTTAGGTTTGTAGTCCAATTCGTAACCACTACGCTACCAGAACTGCCCCTGTTGTTGTTGTTGTTAAGTGCCGTCGAGTCGGTTCCGACCCATAGCGACCCTGTACAGGGTTTCCGAGGGTGTAAATCTTTACGGGAGTAGAAAGCCTCATCTTTCTCCCGCGGAGCGGCTGGTAGTTTCGAACTGCTGACCTTAAGGTTCGCAGCCCGATTCGTAACCACTACGCTACCAGAGCTCCTTAGAACTGCCCCTAGAGGACTCAAAAATCTCAGAACAACAACTCTCTTCCTCCCAGTGAGCTCTGGGACTGCAGTTAACCCTGGAGTCCAGGCCACAAGTTGAACTCCCTGAGTTTTCGGTCTTCCCGAGGAAGAAGCCTGTCATCTTATGGTGTCCTCTGTGGGAGAATGTGTAGAGTGCTCCCTGAAGCTGTTACCCACCTTATCATACTGACAGCAGCCATTTTTGTGTTCAGTTTACTTCATGAGATGAATAGAAAACCAAGGTCAAAAAAAACTTATTCAATAAAATCTTTAGTCGAGAGCAGCCAAAAGTAGGTATTTCAAAGCTTAGTGATTCCTGGGATCATTAACAAGGCTATCATGGGTTATCATATACAGACTTAGCAATACTCATAAATAAGAACTTTCTCTAGAACTCTCCTCCCCAAGAAGACACTCCATCAGAATTCCTTGGCCAGAATTGGCTCAAGGGACCACTGTCCCTGAACATGTAGGAGTTGAACACCATACCCAGGTACAGTCAGAAAGGTGAATGGGCAAGTCTTCTGCCACAGGTGCTAACAGTGAAGCAGCTATGCCTACATTTCTAGGCAAATAAAAAAGTGCAATGTAACAAATGCGGCACTGGAACTGGAGACACTCACTCATCTATGCCAAGAAATGTGGAAGACAACTACCTGGCCAACTGACTGGAAGAGATCCATATCTGTGCCCATTCCACAGGAAGGCCTGCAGAACAAAGCAACCAGCAGTACCACAAAAAACCAAACATAATGACAGCAATTAATTCATACCTATCAATAATTACACTGAATGTCAGTGGATTAAATGCACCAGTTAAGAGACCAAGAGTGGCAGAATGAATAAGAAAACAAGATCCTTCAATATGCTGTCATAAGAGACACATCTTACACACAAAGACAAAAACAGATTAAAAGTCAAAGGATGGAAAAAAATATATACCAAGCCAATTGCAATAAAAAGCAAAGAGGAGTTGCAGTACTAACCTCTGATAAAATAAACTTTAAGGCAAAACCCAGCATAATAGATAAAGATAGATATTATCTCATGATTAAAGGGTCAATTAAAGAAGATGACATACCATAATAAATATCTATGTTCCCAATGAAAGAGTTCCAAAATATATAAAGAAAACTCTAATAGACTTGAAGAAAGAAATAGACAAATCTACAATAAATAGTGGGAGAGTTTAAAATACCACTTTCAGAAAAAGGATAGAACAACCAGAAAGAAACTCAACAAAGACACAGAGGAATGAAACAACAAAATCAGCCAACTTGACCTCACAGATGTATACAGAGGACTCAACCCAACAACAGCACAATACACATTCTTTTCCAGTGCATATGGAACAGTCTCCAAATAGACCATGTGTTAGGCTACAAAACAAGCCTCCATAAATTTTCAATTCAAACATCAAGAAACTACAAAGCATCGTTTCAAACCACAATGCTATAAAATTAGAAATCAACAATAGGAAGACCAAGGAAATCAAGTCAAATACATGGAAGCTGAATAACACCCTGCTGAAAAGATAATGGGTAGTAGAAGAAATAAAATGTGAGTTCACAAAGTTCCTAGAAACAAATGGGAATGAAAACACAACATATCAAAATCTTTGGGACACAGAAAAAGCAGTGCTGAGAAGACAATTTATTGCAATAAATGCACACATCCAAAATGAAGAAAGAACCAAAATCAACACATTAACACAACATCTCCAACAACTAGAAGCAGGCCAGCTAAGTAAACCTACGGTCAACAGAAGAGAAATATAAAAATCAGAGCAGAAATAAACAAGATAGAAACAGAAAAACTATAGAAAGAATCAACAGGACAAGAAGCTGGTTCTTCAAAAGGATTAACAAAATTGACAAAGCATTGACAAACCTAGCAAAAGAAAAGAGGGAAAAACCACAAATAACACGCATAAGAAACCACAAGGGTGATGTCACCACAAAACCAATAGAATAAAAAGAATAACAGAATATTATGAAGAGTTGTACACTTACAAATTCGAAAATCTAGAGGAGGTAGATACATTTTTAGAAAAGCACGACCTACCTAAACTTACAGAGTGAAGCAGAACGTTTGAACTGACTATAACAAAGGAAGAAATTGATCTGGTCATCAAAAAACTCCCAACCAAAAAAAGTCCAGGCCCAGATGGCTTCCCTGGTGAGTTTTACCAAACATTCAGGGAAGAGCTGTCACCAATTCTACTCAAATTATTCCAGAATATAGAAAAGGATGGAAAACTTCCTAATATATTTTATGAAGCAAGCATAACCCTCATACCAAAACCAAGGTAGGACATTACTAAGAAGGAAAATTATATCCCTCATGAACATAGACGCAAACATTCTCAACAGAAGAAGAGCAGCTGGTTAGCTTGAACTTCCGACCTTGCAGTCCAGCGCATTAACCCACAGCACTACACCAGGACTCCCTGAAGGCCTATACAGGCTCACTATGAAACGACTCCCCCACACTTAACAACATTCAGCCGTGAAAATAGGAGTGTGTCCTCAGAACTCCATATCCCAGCGCTGGAACCCTTGTTTGTAACTGTGGAGCTCTGGCAGGGCGGTGAAAATCAGAAAAGGAACTACATTACCCAGAAAGCCATGTGCGTATATTCGCAGAGCGCACTGGGCCAATAATGCCCCGGAGGGGGCTAGACTTCCGGTTTCCAGGACTGTCACTTTGCTGCTTCGCGTCGGGCCAAAGCTGCTATCGTTGTCGGAGCGTGTGGGGCAGGGTCCGGAGTTCCATTAAGGTCTGAGAACCCTAGATTAGGACAACGAAGAAGCCACGATCTGAGGTCTCGACTCACTTTCGCACCTATATAGGCATTGTTACCACTGGCGAGCGGCTCCATTTCACCAGCCGCGGTTTCCCCAAGTGTACCGTGGGCGGTTCCGTGGGACCGTTAGTACAATCCCCGCGCCACGTGCTTTCTAGGCCCTCCGCAGCCGCCGGGAAGCAACACCTTGCACATTCTGCACATCTGACAGACAGGGAGACAGGCCCAGAACTACTGGCGAGTGGCTGTGGGCCGGGTCACTGGGGCCGGGGTCCCAGCCCTGGTCTCCTGCTCCTTTCCTTTCGTCCCACCTACAGTATCCAATGGCAACGCTGGTGACGCGGATGCACCAGGCACAGGTGAGTGGAGAGAGCGCTACACAGCAGCCCGGACCCCAAAGCCTTGATTCTTTAATTGAGGGAGTTTTTCTGGGCGTCTTAGCTTCTTCTTTCGCAGCCCGGAAGACAGTCTTTGGTTCTCTTCACTGTTCAAGCCAATGGGCCGAGCATGAATGGCCGCAAGGATGTGAGATTTCCAAGGAGAGAGTCCTGTATGTGCAAAGATTAAGTGTAGGTGACCCCAGAACTGAAGTGTTCTCAACGTGTGTAAGGAGAGCAGAGTTGAGGAGAATGTTTGGCTCAGTGACACACTGAGGAGCTGGGACTTTATCCTGAGGGTGCTCGGAGGGCCTGCTCTGAGTTAGGATTTAAAAAGTATTCCAGCTGTTGCTTAGTGAAGAGCAAACCAATCCGAGAGACGCAGGGAGGATGCAATTGCAATTGGTCAACTCGATTTCCACTAATAGCAACCCTTGTATAGGTTTTCAGGACTCCTAGTGTGGCGCTGTGGGTTAATGCGCCAGACTGCAAAGTCGTTTGAACTGCAAGGTCGGTGGTTCAAGCTCACCAGCTGCTCCTTGGAAACCCTATACAGGGTCACTATGGGTCGGAATCGACTCGACAGCACTTAACAACAACATAGGTTTTGAGGCTGTAAATCCTCATGGGAGCAGAAAGTCTTATCTGCCTCCTGCAGAGCCGCTAGTGGGTTTGAACTGCCGACTTTGTGATTAGCAGTTCAGGTCTTATCCCGTTGTTGAGTGCCGTCGAGTCAGTTCCGACCCATAGTGACCCTGGATAGGGTGCTGAGGAGCAGCTGGTGAATTTGAACCGCCGATTTTGGGGTTTAAACAGACCTTTCAATCCAATGCCTGGTCCCACAGCCCTTGTGTAGGGCAAGTAACATGATTTGACTATTGCATCGGAAAACAATGTGAGCAATCAAGATGCCTTTGTTTTCAAAAGTGGCCAGGCAAGTAGGCCTCTTAACTTCTGGGGGACTTAATGAAGTTATGTATATTAATTGTGTATTGATTATATTCATTGTATATTAATTAATGCAGTTATGTATCTTAATTGATTGACTTGATCATGTTTACATTTAGGCCCAATTCATGGATATTCATTAAAGTCCCAGTGACTAGGGGATCCTGGACCTTGGAATGCTAGCTTTGGGGTCTCCGATTGGTGAGACTATCCTTGCGTGGAAGACAGATGGCCCATCACTGGAAGCCCCATGCTGGGAACTCTCCCAGACCTGGCCTCATGTGGCTCTCTGCTGGTCTCCTTTCTAGTTATAATAAATGAGTTAACTGTAACGAATCCACAGGGTCAATGAGCCAGCAGAAGCAAGCGGGACAGAGTCATAGGTGCGAAAGGGTTCATAGGCAGTTAATGAAGGGAAGCAGCCTTGGAACTTTTGACGTAGTTTGAGGATGTGGAGGACAGGAGAGAGGGCCAGGCTGCTATGAATTGCAGAGTTATGCAGACTCCTGAGCCACCTCAGGCCAGGATCCCCTAGTCACTGGGGCCTTAATGAATTAGCTCTGGATAGGTCTGCTCATGCATCAAGTTTACACCATATGTGTACTGAGTGAGGTACTGTCCCAAGTTTTCAGACTGGCCACCTAGAATGAGCTGTAGACAGAACTGGAAAGTTAGAGGGAACCAGGTTTCAAAGGGAAGATTGGGAGTTGGAATTGAAATCAACAGTTGAGTCTTTAAAGAACTCCATGGTGACACTGTGGGTTAAGCATTGGTATGCTAACAGCAAAGTTGGCGGTTCAAACCCAGCAGCTCCTCTATGGAAGAGTGAGGTGGCCGTCTGCTGCTGTATAGAGTCACAGCCTCAGAAATGCTATAGAGCAGTTCTCCTCTGTCCTGTGGGGTCACAATGACGTAGGATGGACTTGATGGCAGTGGTGGGGTTTTGTGGGGTTTTGATTGAGGGAATTGAGTTTTTGATGGTCCTAAGTGGAGGCATCACTTGGGTTAGACTTGAAGATGTAGATGCAGGATCCGGGACTTGGACCCAGGAGAGCGGAGGATCTTGGGGACTTGCTGAGGGATGGGGTGTGGGCCTGAGGCTAGGGGATTCCCTGAGGTTGGAAGGCCAGTTGTCTGGAAAGTAGCCCAGGGGAGGGGGAGGCTGAGCAAGGAGACAGAAGGTCATGACCTTGGAGGAGGAGGAGATTGACTTCTTGGGTGCCTACCATGCTCTTAGGGTCACCGCTGTAAAGACTGAAAGTCAGAGGAACCGCCCTGAATTGTCCAGAGAGCTTTAGCCAGGGACACCCCCAGGGCTGGCCTTGGACAACTGCTTGTACCCAGAGCAGGAAGGGCATGTCTGACTGGGGGCAGCCTGTGCAAAGGCTGGTGACCCTGGGCCTGCTCTGGTCACCTTGTACAGTGTGGCCAGTAGAGAGGCTGGGGCAGTGCCTGGGGCCTGGTGGAGCAGTGGGCAGAAGTGCCATCCATAGAAAAGATTCACCAGCGCCGGAGCCTACGTGAGACGTGGAATGGGGAGCTGGGGCATAAAGCTCAGACCGTGTTCATTCCTCCTGCCACTGCAGGACCTGGTGGCCTTCGAGGACGTGGCTGTGTACTTCTCCCAGGAGGAGTGGGGACTCCTCGACATGGCCCAAAGAGCCCTGTACCGCCACGTGATGCTGGAGAACTTCACACTCATGGCCTCGTTGGGTAAGGCCCTGGGTTCTCCATAGAATTACAGCTGGTGCCAAGCTGGAGCAACAGTGTGGCCCTCACATTCCTGACAGCCCTTAAGTAACCCCTCTCCCCCTGCCTGGGAGCCATGTGCAGCAGAGGTTGGGATGGGGAGACACCCTGGTTGAGCGGCCTTGTTTGGGCTCCATGCCCCTCCTCTGGCACAGGGACACAGTGCTTGCCTGAGGGGACTACCCCTCCCTGTGGTGCGTGACTCCTGGGTTTTCCTGTTACACAGATGGCATGAATTTCCTGCCATCTATTGGGAAGTGAATCGCACTGAGCAGGGCCCAGCTCTTCTCCCACCCTGCCCTCTCCCCACAGGGCTCACGGCCTCCCGACCCCAAATGATTGTCCAGCTTGAGGGTGGTGAAGAGCCCTGGGTTACCAACAGGATGGATTTGGCCTCAGTCACAGCAAAGAAAGTCCAAAGGAGGCCCAGCTCTGGTGAGTGGGTGCCAGATGTGAGAGTGAATTTGGCCTCCGTCTTCTCTTTTCAGACCCTGTCTTCTCCTGTTTCGCCTGATTCCCTCTTCCTCTCCCTCTATAACCAGCCTCTCTTGGGAGCCATGGATGGGTTCAGACACAATGTCACCCAGGCCACGGCAGGGCCTGTTCAGAGCCTGCCTGAAACCCTCCAAGTCTTGCTGCCATAAATGTGGGTCGTTTCTTCACTTCATCACTGTTTCTTGAATATTTGCTGTAGACACAGATGATCAGGCAGCAGGGGACTCCTGGGCCTGTCACTGTGGGGGCAGGACGCCTGTGTAAAGTGTGCACGTTAAGCAGTAAGCAGAGTAAGAAGCCAGCTCTGGCTGATGAATGTCCCATGATGGGGGCATGCAGGGAAGGACATCCAGCAGAGGGAACAGCAGACACAGGGCGTGAGCACCACACGGCAGTGAGTGTGGCACCCATCTCTAGTGCTGAGTGGACCTGGGCGCACCAGGGCTGGTGTCTTTCTGGATTGGAGCCAGGCCCAACGGTGCCCCAGCCCCTAGGTTCCGGAACATCAGACTAATGTCTTGACTGTGGGTGGGGGCGGGCTGTCCCATGACTGGCCTAGCAGATGCTTTCCTCAGCCTGCTCAGGGTCCCTGTGTCCTGCATGTTCCACTAAGGATGACCCAACCACCGTTTCTCTGCTTTCAGGTGCCCAGTGCCCAGTCGATGATGGGGATATTTCTGGAGAAGTGGCATTGCTGGGAACCGTCCTGGAAAACACTGCTCTGAATTCGCCTTCACTTCCCATAGGCCTTCCCTCTCCTGGCGCCTGTGACTCGGGGGAAGGCCTGGAGGGACAGCATGATGCCTTTCCGTCCGGGGAGAGGAAATCCACTGGGGTGTCTGTGATCTACTGGGAGAGGCTCCTACCAGGCTCCAGTAGCGTAGAGGGGGAGGCGAGCATTAGCCTACGACTGACTGCCCCACTGTGGGCTGCAGAGGGCAGCCTGCCCAGGGGGAGGGTCCTAACCAGCCGCCTCGTGCCAGGGAAGCAGATGAAGCCCTATATGGGGGAGACACCCCGGAGAGCCTTCCCACGTTTCCCCGTCCACGCTGGAGGCGAGCTTCCCCTGTGCAGGGAGGACACACTAGCGATTCTGAGCAGTGCCCCTCAGATACTCCCCACTGGTCATGAGCCCCCTGCCGGGGACAAGCTAGGTGAGGCCGTCCACACTGGTGCCGGCCTCTTTCCAGGGGACAAGCCCTTAGAATGCAGAGCATGCAGCAAGGTGTTCCTCAAGAGCTCTGATCTGCTCAAGCACCTGCGCACTCACACCGGGGAGCGGCCTTATGAATGCGGCGTGTGCGGCAAGGCCTTCAGCCAGACTTCGCACCTGACGCAGCACCAGCGCATCCACAGCGGGGAGACGCCCTACGCGTGCCTGGCCTGTGGCAAGGCCTTCCGGCACAGCTCCTCGCTGGTGCGTCACCAGCGCATCCACACGGCCGAGAAGGCCTTCCGCTGCGGCGAGTGTGGCAAGGCCTTCAGTCACGGTTCCAACCTCAGCCAGCATCGCAAGATCCACGCGGGCGGCCGGCCCTACGCCTGCGCACAGTGCGGCCGCCGCTTCTGCCGCAACTCACATCTGATCCAGCACGAACGCACGCACACGGGCGAGAAGCCGTACGCCTGCGCGCTGTGCGGCGCCGCCTTCAGCCAGGGCTCTTCGCTCTTCAAGCACCAGCGCGTGCACACCGGCGAGAAGCCGTTCACCTGCCCGCAGTGTGGGCGCGCCTTCAGTCACAGCTCCAACCTCACGCAGCACCAGCTACTGCACACCGGCGAGCGGCCCTTCCGCTGCGGGGACTGCGGCAAGGCTTTCGCCAAAGGTGCGGTGCTTCTCAGTCACCAGCGCATTCACACGGGTGAGAAGCCTTTCGTGTGTCCCCAGTGCGGCCGAGCCTTCCGCGAGCGCCCAGCCCTCTTCCACCACCAGAGAATCCACACCGGTGAGAAAGGCGGACAGAGGCCCAGGGCGACTGTGAGTCGGCCAACGCAGCCTAAGGCTCTTCCTGCGACACCATCAGCGGGTGTAGGGAGGGAAGCTGACCGCACTGCCCTTGCAGGTCGAATGCCCATGGAGGCCTGAAATCACAACTGTGACCTAACACGAATGTAGTGAATGGAACCTTGGGCAAAGAGACTGCGCCCCCTACAGATCCACACGGGAGGAGCCCTGTGCCTTGAGCCCAGGACACCGGAAAGCCTTCAGCTGCAGTTCCATCTGCACATGAGGACAAGATTTGTCACATTTAACCAAAGCTCACACTTTAGCAAAGTCATAGGAAGGACTGGGCAGCCAGGAAGGACATGCTGAGGCTAGGCTAAGGACAGGGGTGTACGGAGGGTGTGACTGGACGGCTAGCTGAACACATTCTTCTCTCTTGGATCAGAAACTCCACCAAAATTGGAGAAGAGAAGGCTTAGAATGCAAACCCAAAACTGTGAGGATGGTGGGAAAGGTTCAGTTGCAACACTGTTTTGAAGCTGGAAGCGGATGGGGACGTTGTCACTAACTGAGGAAAAGCAGAGTTTGAGCTGGCACCGAGGGGAAACATGGACGGGGGCTTTGCCAGGGTTATGCTACAGAATTCCAAAGATGAGTCTAACACCTATGGAATGGAGTTGGGGGACCTACAAGGAGGAGGACCAGGAAAGAACTAGAACCCTTACTCTGCCTACTTTGACACTTGAAAACTGACTTCTAGGGATTTTGCACAGTCCCAGAGAATACATGTAAGGTTACTTCCATTCAGGGCACTTCCTCTTCTAAAGTGCCGGTCCTGAGAACGCTACCCAAGCGCAGGCTCAGAGCTGCCAGTCAGCGGACTTCATCATGGGATTGTCAGGTATTGGAGGACAAATCATTTCAGATTGGGCTATTATAGTTCAGCCGCTTCATGGGTGGAAGCAAAACCGGCCCTGTCCCACGGGGTTAGAGATAGACAACAGGTCCATCCTTGACTATTTTTGGTCCCCAAAATAAACACTGAGCACGTCCTATAAGTAGTCTAGGCAACACCCTGACCTGTGGAGACACCTGAGGGTCTGGTGACCAACCCTTTCCTCCCCCAGTGGATAAACACAGCATCAGTCACTCTGGTCATTTGGCAATTCTTGTTTCATTCCTTTAAATACCTGCTGCATTCTGCAGGCTGCCCCTCATTGCAAGTAAATGTCTTTTTCAGATGCTTTACTCTCTTAGTTTTCCTCCTACAGATAGAGGGCCTGTGTTGTCAATCATGTCTTGTTCACTGAAAATATCAAAAGTAATTCAGTACGTAAATATTTGTTAAATGTGAATATTCAGGTTTGCAGTGTGTGTGTGGGGGGCAGGATAGCATGTAAAAGCATCCAAGTTTTATCAATGGTAAACTGGGATGTGAGATTACTTTTGATCTTTTCTGTTTCCCAAAGTCACCGCAGTAAGCACATGTCGATTTTTTTACTATCATTTTATGTCAATATTTGTTAACAATGGTCTGAGCATCCTAGCACACCAAACTAAACCGGCCACTGGATCAGTTCTGACTCATAGAGACCCGATTTCGGAGGCTGCAAATCTCATGGACCCAGATGGCCTCAGCTTTCTCCCTGGTGGGTTCCAACCATGGAGCTTTCTGTTAGCAGACTGATGTTTAAGGCCGTGTGCCCCCACAGCTCCTTTCTGGGCACACAGTGGGGGCCTACTATTGAATCATTTCTTCAGTAAACTGTTTGGGGTCCTTGTTGTTCCTTATGTCACCAGGGTGTTTAGCAGGGGTGGAATGCAGGGGCCCAGCGCATTCCTCATCAGTGAAGAAAGTCCTTGTGCCTGGATACGGTGCCCCTGACCCCACCTGGAGTCAAATACTGTTGTTGAGTGGCGACCTACAGGGTCTGCCTCCTAGCAACCCTGTGTAGGGTTTCCCAGGCGGTAAATCTTTGTTGTTGTTGTTAAGTGCCGTCGAGTCAGTTCTGACCCATAGCGACCCTGTACAGGGTTTCCGAGGGTGTAAATCTTTACAGGAGTAGAAAGCCTCATCTTTCTCCTGCAGAGTGGCTGGTAGTTTCAAACCGCTGACCTTAAGGTTTGCAGCCCGATTCGTAACCACTACGCTACCAGAGCTCCTTGTTGTTGTTAGGTCCTGTTAAGTTGGTTCCGACTCACGGTGACTCTGTGAACAGCAGAATGAAACTGCCTGACCCCTCTGTGCCCTCTTCACTGCTGCTGCCACCACTGTGCCAACCCATCTCATCGGGGTCTTCCTCCATTTTACCTAGCATGATGCCCTTCTCCAAGGAGCCATTTCCTCCTGATGCTAGTTCTGAAGCAACGTTCTGGCTGCACTTCGTAAACATGGATTTGTTGGCTCTTCTGTTAGTCTCTGGGACTTTTCAATGTTCTTCTCTAACACCGTAACTCAGATGCAGCGATTTTTCTTTGGTCTTGTTAAGGGTCCAATTTAACATACATATGATGGCTAAACTTCGTCTCTCCTACTTTGGACATATTGTCCGGAGGAAACAATCGCTGGAGAAGGATGTCATGCTGGGTAGGGTGGAGGGTCAGAGAAAAAGAGGAAGACCCCCAACGAGATGGATCAGCCAGGTGGCATCATTGATGCACTCAAGTGTGGCAGCGGTAGTGAGGTTGGCCCAGGATCGGACATTGTTTCGTTCTGCTGTGCATGGGGTCGCTATGAGTCGGTTCCGACTTGATGGCACCTAACAACAACAACAAAATGTTGTTAAGTGCCATCGAGTCAATTCTGACCCATAACGATCCTGTATAAGGTTTCCAAGGAGCAGCTGGTGAGCTTGAACCGCCGACCTTGCACTTCAAACGGCTTTGCAGTCTGGCGCGTTAACCCACAGCGCCGCCCCAGGACTCCCACATACATATGAGGCTACTGAAAATACCATGGCTTGGGTCAGGTGCACTATGGTCCTGAAACTGACATCTTTGCTCTTGAAGCCTTTAAAGAGGTCTTATGCAGCAGATGTGCCTAATGCAACACGTCATTTGATTTCTTCACTGCTGCTTCCATGAGTGCTGACTGGTGGTGGTGGTTAGGTTCCCACCCTTAGGGACTTTGTGTACAACAGAAGAAAACAGCGCACGGGCATGCACTGTCCTCACGATCGCTGCTACATTTGAACCCATCGTTACTGCCAGTGTCACAACCCATCTCGTTGGTGGGCTTCCTCTTTTTCGCTGACCCTCCACTTTACCAAACATGATGTACTTCTCCAAGGACTGGTCCCTCCTGATAATATGTCTGAAATTTAGAGATAAAGTCTGGTCATCCTGGCCTCTAAGGAGCATTCTGCTTGTACCTCCTCCAATGTAGATTTGTTTGTTCTTCCGCCGGTCCACGGTACTGTTACATTCTGCTGGGCCTCCTCTCTCAGGAGTCTGAAGAATCAATCTCACTGACTTACCATCTCTCAGTGACACACATACAAAAGGCATTTACACAAAAGCAAAAGTGCACTTCAAAGAGAGAAGTGGTTCTGTCAACCTGAGTACAGAAGACCCCGTGGAATTGCGGGGGATGTGGTAGTTTATGAAGGAATGGCGTCTCCTCCTTCAGAGGTATGTTCTGCCCAGGGGAGTGGTCTGGGTGGTCCAGGTGATCATGGCACCCTTGCTACTGCACAGGCCCAGGGATGCTCGTTCCCGTATTTTCAGAGTTTTTAGTTGTATGCATGGGAGGTAACGTATGGTAATGATATTACAAAGACCCCTTCAATGGCACAGGTCACTTACGGACATGATTTTCTCTGTGCTGTACCTGTGATGCATCCAGGTCATAAATGAGAAGACATGTCCAGGTTTTTGTGGTTTGATGTTCAGTTAGTTATTCTGCTTGTACCAAAGATGTCTCCCCCTGCTGACCTCCACTTAGTAGGGGAGGACCCTACTCTACATTTGTTGTTGTTGTTGTTAAGTGCCATTGAGTCAGTTTTGACCCATAGCGACCCTGTACAGGGTTTCCGAGGGTGTAAATCTTTACGGGAGTAGAAAGCCTCATCTTTCTCCCGCGGAGCAGCTGGTAGTTCCGAACCGCTGACCTTAAGGTTCACAGCCCGATTCGTAACCACTACGCTACCAGAGCTCCTTCATTACAGTACCATTAATACTCATCTCTATCACCATACTCAAATGCGACAGTTCTTCTATGGTCTTCCTTATGTGATAGTGGATCCAAGCAAAATGAAGTCTTTTTGACAACTGCAATCTTTTCTCCATTTATCATGGAGTCCTGGTGCAGAGCCGTGGGATAAAGCAATGGACCAGAAGGTCAGTTAGAACCACAGGTTGGCAGTTCAAACTCACCAGCTGCTCCTTGGAAACTCTATACAGGGTTGCTATGAGTCGGAACCAACTCGACAACACTTAACAATTCATTGGTCCAGTGATGAGGATTTTTGTTATCTTTACATTGAAGTGCAACCCATACTGAAGACTGAGAGCAGAAAGCCTCATCCATCTTCCACACAGCGGCAAATGGACTCCTTGTGCTTATCCTACAGAGCCACCAGCTCCTCAACCTAAATATTAAGTGCCATCAAGTCAATTTTGACTCCTTTTTGTTGTTGTTAGGTGCCATTGGGTCAGTACCAACTCGTAGCGACCCTATGTACAACAGAACGAAACACTGCCCGATACTGGGACAACCTCATTATTGTTGCCATGCTTGAGCCCATTGATGCTGCCACTTTGCCTATCCATCATGCTGGGGGTCTTCCTCTTTTTCTCTGACCCTCCACCTTACCAAACATATCCTTATCCAGCAACTGGTCACGCCTGACAATATGTCTGAAGAATGAGAGACAAAGTTTGGCTATCCTGGCCTGCAAGGAGCACTCTGGCTGCACTTCTTCCAAAACAGATCTGTTGGTTTTTTTGGCAGCCCATGGCACTTTCAATATTCTCTTCCAACACCATAACTCAAAACCATCCATTCTTCTATGGTCTTCCTTATTCACTGTCCAGCTTTCACATGCATATGAGGCTACTGAAAATACCATGGCACCTTGTTCCTCAAGCTAACATCTATGCTCTTCAACACTTTAAAAAGTTCCTGTGCAGCAGATTTGCCCAATGCAATACGTCCTCTGATCTCTTGACTGCTGCTTCCACGAGTGTTGATAGTTGATCCAAGAAGAATGAAGTCCTTAACAACTTCAATCTTTTCTCCATTGATAAGAATGTTGTTTATTGTTCCAGTGGTGAGGATTTCTGTTTTCTTGACATTGAGATGCAACCCATATCGAAGGCTGTGCTCTTTGATCTTCATTAGTAAATATTTTAAGTCTTCTTCACTTTCAGCCATCAAGGTTGTATCATCTGCATATTGCAGGTTGTTAATGAGTCTTCCTCCAATCCTAATGCCACGTTTTTCTTCATAGAACCCAGCTTCTTGGATTATTTGCTCAGCATACAGGTGGAATAAGTATGGTGAAAAAATACAACCCTGTTTCACACCTTTCTTAATTTGAAACCATTCAGTGTTCCTATGTTCTGTTCGAACAACTGCCTCTTGGTCCATGTACAGATTAGTGTTCCGGAATACTCACACTTCACAATGTTGTCCATAGCCTGTCATGATCCACACAATCGAAACCCTTTGCGTAGTCAGTGAAGCACAGGTAAATATCTTTCTGATATTCTCTGCTTTCAGCCAAGATCCATCGGATATCAGCAATGATATCCCTCATTCCACATCCTTTTCTGAATCCGGCTTGAACCTCTGGAAGTTCTCTGTCAATATATGCTTGCAGCCATTTCTGTATTACCTTTAGCAAAACTTGATTCACATGGACCATCAAAGATGATTTCCACATTCCGTTGGGTCACCTCTCTTTGGAATGGACACAAATACGGATCTCTTCCAATCAGTCGGGCAGACAGTTATCTTCCAAATTTTTTGGCATAGATGAGTGATTTCAATTTTTATTCCATCAATTCCTGAAGTCTTGTTCTTTGCCAATTCCTTCAATGCACCTTGGACTTCTTCCTTCAGTATCATTGGCTCTTGATCATATATGCTACCTCTTGAAACGGTTGAACATCAACCATTTCCTTTTGGTACAGTGACTCTGTATTCCTTCCATCTTCTTTTGATGCTTTCTGCATCATTCAATAATTTGCCCAAAGAATTTCGACTCCTATTAGTACCCTGTATTAGGGTTTCCAAGGAGTGACTGGTGGGTTTGAACCACGTACTTGGTATTCAAACCAATTTTGCAATCTAGTGATTATCCTACAGCGCCATACCAGGACTCCAAAATATAGGTAGCTACAAAGTAGCCACCTCTACAGAAGGGTTGGCAACACCACAGCCTTTACCATGGAAATAATAGTGGTTACCCAGGGGACGGCTGGGGGTGGGGCAGAAGCCATGAGGGAGGGGCATGGGCAAACGTCCAGTTTTGATTGGTCTGAATATCGGCCACTTCCTCGCCCTTCACCTCGTTAGCCAATAGGAACCGGACTGGTTTTGCACATGCGTAATGTTTCAACGTACCCTCCAATTTGGCAGTTGGTGAGTCCTGGGGCTCGGGTCCGATCGAATAACGACGGCCAGCGAGAAGGTGAGCCCCTAGACTTCTGCGATCCTGAGGGCCTCGTCGTACATAGAACACCTATCAGGCATCAGACACCTCTGGAAAAACGATCCCTTCGGCCGAGGACGTGCCTCAGTTTGTTTACTGAGACTGATGGGAAACGTAGTCCACATACAAGGGCTAGGGAGACTTCGGGTCAGGCGCCTGATTGGGCAAGGAGTCGTTGCCATGGCAACGCATGGGCGGGCCGGGTCCGTGCGTTTTGCGCAAGCACGCGGAGAATGGCGTGCGGAGCTGGCGCGGCGCCATTTCTCGGAAGTCGTCTGCAGCACCGGCGCCGCGGTTGAGTTGCTGCTTACGCGAGACGATTCACAAACCAGGCAGAGTTCGCTATTTCCGCTCGGCTCCTGCCATCGCTCGGAAACGCGAGCCGTACCTACCGAAGATGTGAGGAACGCTCGGTGGCCGAGAACGCTCCAGTCAGGAATCTGAAGGAGCTAGTTAAACTGCTTCGTGTTCTGAACAGAGTTTCATGTGAAGGGCAATTTTGTCAGGTGAGTGTGGGCATTTTAAACGTACAGTATTCACATTTTAAAGTGATATTTAAATTCAAGAAATAGAAAATAGCGTGTAATTTTTTTTTATGATTCTATACTTGTATTCAATCTCGATTTAATGCACTAGTGTTTAAATTTGATGTTTATCTCACAAATTGAAATATTAGCTAGGGTCTCGAACCGGTTCGTTCTGGTTCGACCCCTACTGAGAATTTGCATTTCCACCCCAGATACAGGGAATGCATTTCTACCTTTTCACGAGATCCCCAGCGATGTGATTAAATATGCATAAGACTCACCTGGGGATCTTGTTAAAACTAACAAGATCCCAGGGGAATTCGTTTGTATCTTACATATTGTTTTATGTTTGTATAAGTAACCCCAGGGGATCCTGTTAAGTTTATTGTTGTGTATGCGTACGCTGTGTAAGATACCTGAGGATCACCAGGGGTCTTGTTAAGTTAGGGACTTACATAAAATACTGAAGAATATATAAAATACGGAAGAATTAGCTGAGGCTCTTGTTAAACCAAAGATCTTGATTCAGTATTTCTGGGGTGGAAATGCACAATCTCATCAGGGGGTCCAACTGGAATGAACCGGTTGGAAGCCCAGATGTTAACAAACATCAGCAATTAACAGGAAGAAAATCAGTGTTCAATTGATATATATATACTATGATTGTTACAGAAAAACAAACCTGATGGTATCACTGAAGTGAGATTTCTTTACAGAAGGTGCTGGGAAAATGTACTAGAAAGTTGTAAGACTTCTAATGGAAGAAATTGGCAAATCCTGTGACTATGAAACAGGAATTATTATAATTTTTAATATACTGATGATACCTGTATTCTAATGCATACTCTAGTTTTTTTCTACAAATGTATTTATGTATTGTATTCTCTTTATATTAACAAAGTGTAAGATTTGTTTTTATTGTTAATTTGCTGGTTATAAGATTTTCCCTAATGTTTAATACTATTTCTCTAATTTTAGAATGGGCCGAACCAGAGAAAATCCATGTCGAGAATTTTTCAAGTATGAAAAGATTGACAATAAAAGCACCTGTAAAATTTGCAACACAGATATGGTTGGAGACCATGCAGCAAACTTAGAGAGACACTTGAAGAGGCATCATACAGATGAGTATAACGCAGTCCAAAGCAAGAAAACAAAGAAGATAGAAGAAAGTGTCAGAAGCGTTCCTAAGAAGCAACAAAAACCATTGGAGGAGTTTGCCATTCCAGAAATCTTTAAGGTGAGATTCGATAAGTAATTGTTAATGCGTGTATTGAATTAGTTACTTTTAATGGTTGTTTGAGTTACTTGAATATTAAGGATTGGGTAGAATTTTAAATCAAATTACTGTTCCAATTGGTCAAAAGTTTTCAGTCAACTCAGAGTATCAGGGAAGTGATACCTAATCTAGAAAAAAACAAATATTAGTTTTGAAAGCAGATGTTGCCAGTAGATTGAATCTGTTGATCTTAGAAATTAACAGTCAGCTCCCACAAAACAATAATATGCATCCCAGTGGTTCAAACTCACCAGCTGCTCCTTCGAAATCCTATACGGGATCTTATGAGTTAGAACCGACTGGAGGGCACTTAACTACAGTTGGCACTCGGAATGAAAGACTTAAACTTACTTATGCAGGCCTGTACATCAAAACTTGAAAACCAAACACTGGGTGTTAAATGTCAGGAAAGTACAACATTGATTTATAACAGGTTTATTCTGTAACCGTGGATAATGCTCTAACAGGATTATATTTGTTGATTTGCTCAGAAATGATGGTCTGACCAAACCTCTTCCTCCCAGTTGGTGGGAGGGGAAAGCTCTTAATGACTTAATTTCAAAATGGAGCCTGTCTCCCCCTTTTAGAAGCACAGAACAGACCTAAGTGAACTCTGCCTGACAGGCACCTAATTGGGGTGTGTTTCTCTCCAGACCATCTTCAGGGCGGGGAGACTTGAGCTTGGATTTGTGTTTTTTTGGTTTTTACATACACTAGCCATGCAGGTCATTCTGCATCAAGGACCATAGCGTCTCAGTTAATACCAGCCCCTGATGCCCCACTCGGGTCAGCATATCATGTACACGGTCCCATGTGCTGTCCCACCGTCCTTACAGCTGCCTCCCCATCTGCCTGTCCCTGGTGTCCTGCCTCTTCAGTCCCACCCTGAAGACCTGTGATGCCGCTCTTTACCTCCCTCCCCACACTCATCTCTCAGGAGTCTCCTCCAGCCATGTATTGAGCGTTTTGCAGTTTCCGGAAAGCCCTGCATCTTCTTTTTCTCACATCCTGTCATTGGCCATCGCCCTGTCCACTGTCAGCCCCGGGTCCACTATATGTCCTGGACTGCCTCTCAGACTGGGCCGTCTTCTCCATGCAGGACCCCCAGCCACAACTGGACTCACTCTTATTTTCAGGTCCTTCCAGGCAGCTCCAATAAGATCTTGCATACAAGAATGCCATCCCCGTTGGGTCCCCTTTACCTGTCTCCCATGGACCCCGCAGCCACCCTGGAGGAACTCGAAGCTGCACGGCTGAGTTTCCGCAGCTTCCGCTACCAGGAGGCAGCAGGGCCCCTTGAGGCTCTGGTCCGGCTGCGTCACCTCTGTCACCAGTGGCTGCGGCCCGAGGTGCATTCCAAGGAGCAGATGCTGGAGCTACTGGTGCTGGAGCAGTTCCTGGGGGCGCTGCCCCCCGAGATCCAGGCCTGGGTGCGGGAACAGCAACCGAGCAGCCCTGAGGAGGCTGTGGCCCTGGTTGAAGGGCTGCAGAATGACCCTGGGCGGCTGCTGAGCTGGGTGAGTGTGGCCGCTGTTGGTCTAGCCCTTCGGAGGCTTTTGGAAGGATCGAGGCAAGGCCAGAACCCCAAATCTTACCTCTTCCTCTTCAGATTACGGCCCATGTCCTGGGGCGGGAGGTGCTTCCAGCAGCCCAGAAGACCGAGGGGGCCTCAAGGATCCCCCTCCCCTCAG